GCCTGTAATCCCAGCTACTCAGGAGGCTGAGGCAGGAGAATTGCTTGAATCCAGGAAGTGGAGGTTGCGGTGAGCCAAGATTGCGCCATTGCACTCCAGCCTGGGTAACGAGTGAAACTCCATCTCAAAAATAAATAAATAAATAAAATCTTAAGTAGATTTCATGCTAGAATACATTGTTGGATTAGCAGTATTAGATGCTGTAAAGAACCTTAAATTCCATTAAGTATTACTTATAAGGGGTAAGAAACTTATAGCTAGGACTTGCTTCTCACACACATTCCCAAAGCTATAGAAACCTTGTCTCACCAGAATTTTCAAGATTAAAGGAAACTTAGGTCTCCAGGAACACTCAATTTGCTGTCACAATTAAAGCTGAGTAGAGGTCACTCAGTCACTTCCTGTAAAACAGTGAATCAGGTCAAGATGAACCACCGGTCTAGGATCACTACTGCAAACATAAATCAACTAACTATCAATATCAGAAACAGGTTGATTTAATGTAAAAAGGAAAACAGAAAATAAAATTGCTAAAAGATGGGGACTATAGAATAGTCAACAGAAAAAGAGGGGAAAAAAAGCTTCCCCTCCCAAAAAAATCTAGAAAGATATCTTATTCCGATATATTTATAAATTTCACCTCATGTATTAATGTGCATTAAAGTTAGCTTGATACAGTAAATTGAAATAAAAAATTTCACTTTTAAGTCAGTAAACACAAATATTAGAGGGAAATACTGCTGAAGAGTAGAAAAATAAGACAAACTTCTAGTGTTCCTAAAATTAGTCTCATAAAGAAGTGAACTTGTTCTTGAGAGAAGATGGATGTTTCTGGTATTTGTAAACTGATTTATGATACTGCAAACAATAACAGAAAACATTCTTAATGAATTACGTGGGTAAACCTGGCGGAAGACTGTAACCCTTCAAAGTATAAGAAGTAATGTAGACTGAGTTTTTAATCCAGTTATAATTATGTAGTTTCAGAGCTAAGGTTGCTCCTAAAGAAATAAAAATATATAAAGAACTGATCCTAAACAATTAAATAAATTTGGTTCACTTGCAGATTCTTATGGTATTTTCTCTAGAGTAGGTTTACTATACAGTTAAACCTACCATCACTCTTTTCATCAGAGGTTGAGAAAAAATTAAAAAGATCAAGAGAAATCTGAAATAACCTGGATATGATGATTAATTCTGGTGTCAACTTGCCTTGATTAAGGATTACATAGAAACCTGTGGGGTGTGTTGTGAGGTTGCTTTCAGAGGAGATTAGCACATGAGACTAAGTGGCATAAATGGGGAAGATTCACCCTCTCAATGTGGGCAGGCACCACTGAATATGCTGAGGAGCATAAGCAGAGAAAGGGTGAATGTGTGGATCTATCTGCTGGAACTGGGATACACTCTTCTTCTGTTCTAAGACAACAATTTCAGACTCCTGGTCTTTGTACTTTTGCAGCTTCCCAGGTTCTGAGGCCATTGGCCTTGGAGTGAGAGTTGTATCAACAGCTTCCCTCGTTCTGTGGCCTTTGGACTTGGACTGAGAACCATGCTGCCAGTTTCCCAGGGTTTCCAAATTGCAGAAGGCCTGTTGCAGGACTTAGCCTCCATAATTGTGTGAGCCAATCACTCAGTAAGTGCCCTCTCACATATCTATCAATATATACACCTACATCATCTATATCTATATCTATATCAACTATATCTATGTCTCCTATTGATTCTGTGACTCTGGAGAAGAACCCTGAGTAATATACTAAGGTATTAGAGTATGTAAATTTTTGTGCATGCACACAAATTTACAAATATACAAACTTGTTCATACTTTTAAAATCAAATGATAAATATTTCAAATGGAATAAAAACGTCGAAATTGACATCTCTTTAGTGAAAGATCTTACAAGAACAATGAGCAAAACGTAAGAAATATTATCTTTCCTGTCATTTAATATATCCATCAAATGAAAAAATTGCCCAGTTCTAACTTTTAACTTATCGATCGAATCCACTCAGCAGATATGCCTAACCCATCTGATAGAGTAGATTCCTTTGCTAAAATTGGACCAATATAATGCCTTTTGTATTCATACATGAAACAAATATTTTAAAGGCATACTGAATTGTGGACTATAATACACTACTGTCTACTACTCCATCAATATATACATTGTTTTCTAAGGTCAGGAACAACAACAATGGTACAAAACATTTAAGAAAGTACAAATCAGGATCAAGAATGTAAGTTGGCATGTTTATTTCTATAAGGTATCAAGATATCATATGTAAAAAAGAAAAAATCAAAATACTAGATGAGCGTTTTCAAATATCAAATAAGATAATCTAGTAAATTATTTTGTGAGCATTCAATTATATATGCATTTTTAATTAAAAGAAATCTTATAATATTTGTTATACATTTCAGTTGCCTTCCGTGATAGCAGATTCTATATTTACTAGTCTTCATCCTTGCCCTGTGATTCCAAGAAAAAGGAGGCAGTAGGAAGGAGGAGGAAAGGGAAGAAAAAACATTCTAAAATGAAATATGGCAATGATTTATGTGGTGGGAAAAACGAGTCTGTTCTACATTTTTAATTTCCTATTTCTACATACGCCACTACACCAGAGCTTCCCATAATTGTTTGAACAATCTCGCAGTAGACTAAATAATTCAAATATATTGTTACTTTCATAACTATTAAGTGTTTATAAAACTTCTCCAAACTCACAATTTACAAAATATGTTTCAGAACTATGCTTTTAGTTAATGAATATACTAGAAGCTGTGAAAATGAATTTCTTTCAGGTTATCAGTTTGCTCAGTACTTATTTCTTGCCTGAAAGGGTTTTGACTGTCACTTTCATTTATCTGCACCCTAGAAAGAAGACAAATACACATATATAATGTCTCAACATCTCAATGTTCCCCTCAAATTACTTTTAGTGTGACTTTATTTCCTTTAGGGACTTTTTTTTTCCCCACTATGAAATAGTGGAGGCTGGCCATTTAACACTAATAGAAATTCTAACCTTTTAAAATCTCATACTCCACAAAAGTTCTATTGATAGTCAGAAAACTGCTTCTTATTTTAGCTTTACCAGTTTCTAATTGTGTGATCTTGGGCATGCTGTTGAACTTGGCCTTTGCTCTCTGGAACATAGTTTCTATAGTCATAGAAATTCTAGAAAGTATAATTTTAAGTGCTTTTCATTAAAAAATGTTCTGACTTATAAATTACAGTGCTTCATGCTCTCAAGCAAGAATCCATCCATTTCATCTTTTTGTCATTATGACAGGACTTAAAATCCACATTGTGAATGTAGTGGTCTTAATGGTGGAATAATTCCTAAGAAAGTACTGAAGGTGTTGGCTAATCCAATTGGTCAGAACACAGTTTATTGAGCCTTTCACATATTTACAATATGAGTTTAAATGTATTTTTGTCATTCTGTTTAACAAGGGACTTATTTCAGTATCATATAAATTATAAAATCTAAAACTATTAGTTTACTTATCAAACTGCAGTGAAATCAAGTGACTACCACATTGCTGATTATGGGATTACTTTACCTAGAATAATAAAGTGCCAAAAACAAAAATAAAAAAAAAAGAATAAGAAAGTGCCATACCAATATTAATACCTATGTTTTGATAATGAATAAAATTTTAAATACAGGTAACCAGGTACCATCAACTAAAAAGTCAGTTGTACTTTGACTGAACAACATGAAGCTCAATGAACAGTTGTAAACCACTGAAATGAATAACCACAGCTATGAATGGATTATAACATGTTAGAAATGTGCTGATCACAATTACAGTTAAGGAAGGAAAAGATCCCTGGCTGGAACATCTCACTGAGCTTCCCTTGTCTCATTGAAACTGGCTACAGGTCATTAAAATCCCAGGTAGAATAAGAAGGAACAGTGAGTGATAGGTCTGTTAAATCCATCGAAACAAAGTATGCCTGACTCAATTAGATAAAATGGGAGAAATTTGGTTGGCAATAAAGTTAAAACATGATTAATAAAAGAGTGAAATAATTTTGACACATTTGCTTCCTGTCATTTATGATATTTACACTTAATAAAATATGTTGGATCTCAAGATATAACTTTAATAGAATCACGAATTTCTCTCCAGATCAACATAATGTAAAGCTAAAAGTTGCCTCCAGATGGATGATGGTACATGGGTTGGATTCACAGTTACATGAATCAGATACCTTGATAGTCATAGTGAGTGAGTATTGAGCATTTACTATGTGCCCTGACACTATGCTAAGGCTCTTTATCCATGATTTCCTTTAATCCTCAGGAATTTCTATATGAAATAAATGCTGTTCAGAAAGTAAACTGTCAGAAGGGAAACAAAGCTGAACTTTTGTCAAAATTTATGACACCAGCAAGTGGTGGAAACAAGACGTCATTGGAAACGTTTTTTCTTTTTGTTACCAATATAGCTGCTTCCTTCTGTATTGACCCCCCTTATCAGTGCAAATTTCCATATAATAAAAATATGGAGGTCCTACAGACTTCAGCCTTGTTTTCTCCAAGCAAAACCACAGGTAAATTGACTTGAACACTGAATTATTATCAACCCTATGCTCCACCTTTATCACACATGGCTCTCAGGTATACAATAAAAAAGTTCCCTCTGGCACTCTTTCTCTGAACTGAAAACCTAGGTACCTTTCTGCTTCGTTTCCCTGCCCCTACCCAGTTAAGAACACTTACAGACACATTTTAACATTAACATAGAGAGAAAATGAAACCTTTATGGACAATAATTTCTTCTCAGTGTAAGATGAAAATAACTGTTAGCTTGCTTAGATTGAAGCTCCCTGACACAGTAGGGCCTGTGACTGACAGACGCCGTTTGCAAGATTCATATGGCAGTAATTTTTATTTTGGAGGTCATTTCAGTTAGGTATTTAAGGATAAGAAACAGAATATATATATTTTTTAATTGTAAGTATATTGAAATTATGATTTCTGACCTGGATCTGTTGCTGGAGCAAATTGATTTTGTGTTGTTGCTGCAGAAGCTGCTGCTGTTGTCTTGCAATCTGCGGAGAAATTGCACATGAGAAATTTACAAGTATATTGTAGTCCCAGAGGGAAGTTACTAATGTTCTATTTCTCAAAGTTTGATTTGACATTGATTAAGATGATGACAATAGATGTGTCTGTGCTCCTAAATTATTAGCAATCCATACTAAGTAAGATCAAGGAAGATATTTAGTCTTTAGAAATAGTTATGTTTCTTTTGGCTTAAAACAAATGAAGCCTAAAATACTATTACAGTGATCAACCCCAGAAAGAAATGTCTGGTTTTCAAACATCCCTCTTCTTAGTGATACCTTAAGAAGGCACTGCTTCTGACATTTTCAGCCCTTTTCTATAAGTGTTTCACAAATGGGGAGGGGTAGGTTTAAGACTGAGGAGTTCAGAGTAGCACAAAGTATTGCAAAACACTGGATTTATTAGTAAAGTTTTTGGTATTTTTTTGGTTTTAGATAAATAATTTTCTCATTACTGCCTCTCACAAACCCCTAACCACCAACTCAACACATACCATTGTAGTTTCTGCTTCCATTTCTCTACCGAAATGATTCTTAAGAAGGTTACCAATCACATCCATTATTTAAAAATTCTGATGCATTTTTCAGTTCTCACCTTTTGATCTCTCATCAGAATCCAACACTCAAGTGCTTTCCCTTGATCATGAACTTTCACTGTTGGCTTCTGCGACATCATACTTCCCTGGTTTCATTTCTACCTCTCATGTCTTTTCCTTTTTAATCACCTTTAATGGCTCTCTCCAGCCACTAAATTTTATAATTCTCTCAATTTTAGATTTTGTTCTTTTTCTTCGTACTTACTTCCATATGTAAGCCAAATGCTTCTAAATTTGTTTCTCTAGCCTAGACCTTTGTTTTAATCATCAGATCCACTTATTGAGAGACTTATTCAAAGGTACCTCAAGTTCAACAGGCCCAAAACTAAATTTGAGATTTAGCCTTCCATATAGTTATCTTAAATATTTCCTAACTTAGGGAACAGTACAATGACTTCCTATTCCCATTGTTGTTTGCACTTATAACACCCTCTACATTTACTTAATATTATGCCCATGCTATGACTTTGTATTTGTTTATTTATTTGTTATTTACATCTTTCTGTCCCCTAAGGAGAAGTCTATAAATTCAGTGATGGTAAAGGCCATGTAAATTTTATTCACTATTCATAGGAAGTCCGTTATAAAGGAATGCTGAATAGATATCTGATAAGAATGCATTAATAGATGATATGAAAATTGTAAACATTTCATCACATGGGATAGGATGTAACTTCTAATATCTTGAAACTTATCACTCTCTTATAAATAAGTTCTAAATCTCATTCTCATCAAGTAATAATTGCCATTATTTTCATTAAAAAAAATATCTTAGCCTCTACAACCAAAAGGAAAAAATACAGGAAAAAATTGATACATCACCATGAATAAAAAGTAAAGAACCCATGTGATGAGGATGAGTCTACACGGCTATACAAAAAAAAAAATTTACCTCCTTTATGGATGTTGGTATAATTATAATTATTTTAATACTTTAATTTTATCTTTGGAATATGGTAAAAAAAAGTTTTTTTCTTTCTTTTTTTTGAGACATAGTTTTACTCTTGTTGCCCAGGCTGGAGTGCAATGGTGTGACCTATGCCCACTGCAACCACCTCCTCCCAGGTTCAAGTGATCCTCCTGCCTCAGCCTCCTGAATAGCTGGGATTACAGGCACCCACCACCATGCCCAGCTAATATTTTTGTATTTTTACTAGAGACAGGGTTTCACCATTTTGGCCAGGCTGGTTTTGAACTCCTAACCTCAGGTGACCCACTCACCTCAGCCTCCCAAAGTGCTGGGATTACAGGCATGAGCCACCATGCCTGACCCACTATTTTTTTTTCCTGAAGAAAGTGATAAAGGAGACAGCAGAAGAAGGAAGATCTTCTTTTCCATGAAGTCTCATTCCTTCCTTCCATATATCAATATTTCAAATGCCATTTAAATACTTTTAACAAAACTTTCAGAATACTTCAGAACCTGACTACTTCAACCTCCTGTGCACTTTCTTCTCTTCACTGTGCCTTGGTCTGGACTGTTATAATGGCCTCCATATGCTCTTTATGCTTTCGCTCCTGCTCCCTATAGTCTATCACAGACCAGCATCCTGAGAGTACTTAAAATATAAGTCCACTTTGGGCATCCAAGGTGGGTGGATCACAAGGTCAGGAGTTCAAGACCAGCTTGGTCAACATAGTGAGACCAAAAAATTAGCCGGGCACAGTGGCAGGCACCTATAGTCTCAGCTATTCAGGAGGCTGAGGCAGGAGAATCACTTGAACCTGGGAGGCGGAGGTTGCAGTGAGCATACATTGTACCATTGCACTCCAGCCCAGGTGACAGTAAGAGACTCTGTCTCAAAAAAAGAAAAAAAAAATATACATATATATATATATATGTATGTGTGTGTGTGTGTGTGTGTGTGTGTGTGTGTGTGTGATGTTATGCTATTCACCTTTCCAAAACTCTTTTCTCTCACTCAGCAAAAAGGCCGATGTGCATATAATGCCTTCAAGGCCCTATATGATTTGGCCTCCTTTTACCTCTCTGATTTCATCTCATCCCCTATTCCCCTTGTCATCCCACACCTGCCACATTGCATTCCTAACTGCCTCTTTTACATACCAAGCATGCTTCTGCCTTGAAGGATATTCCCGCTTCTGGGCCTTTGCACTTACTTTTTCCTCTGTCTGAAATACTCTGCCTAGGTAGCCCCATGGCTCACTCCCATACATCCTACAGGTTTCTGCTCAAATGTTCTTAGTCAGTAATGTCTTCCCTGAGCACCCATTTTAAAAGAACATATTCCCACAGATAATACCCTCATCCCCAATGCCCTGCTTAATTTTTCAACAAAGTACTTATCAATATATAGTTTACCGGTTTTTATTGTCTACCCCTCTCAACTAGATTTCAATACACAAGGGGTTTTTGTCTGTTTTATTCCCCATTCTATTCCCACTAACTAGAACAAAACCTGGCATCAAATTGGTGGTCAATGAATATTTGTCTAATAGATGAATGTGGGCTGGAGCTCAGAATCTGGGGGAAAGGCTCGTCAGTAAATAGATCCTCTGGCATTCATAACAGCTATACCAGGAATACTAGAATGCACAGAATGGGAACATTTGACACTCAGTAGGGAGTGCTGGAAGGAGTATCAGAAAAAGACTTTAGAAGAGAAGATGCACCTGCCCTGACCCTTAAAGAATAAGTATTAAATGCCCTTCATGGAAGAATATGCTACCACAGAGTGGACTGTGCATACCTGCTATGTATGGTAGAGAAGCACTGGGAGAGCTGAATGAGCTCTAGATACATGACCTGTGGCTATCACCAGGGATCTTCCCCCAGGCTGTGGAGGCAGCACCGCAGGACATCTCTCCCACACAGGAGAGAAATTCTTGAAGAATTTAGGGGTTTGTAAAGTTCCAAGGAAAATGTCAGAGGTCTTGGGAAACTATTAGAATCAAAGGATTCTAGAATCCTTTCATGATATTCAGAGATGGGCCAAAATGTAAAAGAGAAAAGAAAGAAACTTACTCTCCACCAGTCAGTGCTTAGATCTTTCAGGACATGTGTGTCCTCAGACCCACCAAAGCAAATAGAGATTATCTACAAAAAATATCCCCAGCCAAGCTATTCAGAAACTCCTAGGATTATCCAGAATTAAGTTGACTAAAAGATTCAACGTTAAGGACAAGGAAAGAGTGGTGTTGTTTTATACTGTTACTGGCAAGCATTCTGAACTCTTCTATCATAGGAATAAAGCAAGAGGCTTATGGGCCATATCCAAAAGCAAGCCCAAAACATCTTTAATGAAAGTGATGAGGCACTTCATTAAAAATAAAACTAACAACTTTTAATCAGAGATAAACCATAAACCACCAAGCAGAGAAGAGTAAAAGGAAAATAAGGGGATGGAAAAAAGGAGCTCCTCAAACATAAACTGTGTATTTCTTCATGTCATTCAACCCTGCCAGCTTGTACTTGGAAAGATGTTTAGACGGTTTTGCTGGGATATGTAGACATGCAAATATTAAACAGTGGCCATCCTCCGCTTGGGATGGTCAGTGGGGTATGTCTAGAACATGGACCAGGAAAAGCACTTAGCCATGAAAAAGAGGCCATACTTCTACGTAAGCTGAAACTATGACACCTCCCTCTATCTTACCTTCTGTTTACTACCAATTTCTTTAATAGTTCATAGACATTGCCTCCATTTTCCTACTCCACATTTTCCAGTTCTTATTATCTCATTTCGGCTACTAAAACACCATAGAATCCTTACTCTTCAAGGCCAACAATGGGAATCTAAATGACAAATCTTGTTTCCATTTGATTATTAGAATGACTACTTTTCTGTAGCATTTAACACTGCTCCCTATTATCTCTTAAAATCTCCATTTTGTTTCCTATAACATGGCCCCACTTCCATATATGTTTCTTTCTGCATATGTTCACATTCCTTTCTCTGCCAGCTATATATGCCAGTATCTCCCAAGGACCTACCTTTAGTTCCTTTCTGCTTTCCTGTAATATTAGCATTCTAATTTAAGGCTTATAAGCCTGCCACACCTCTGCATAAAACATTCCTGTCCCTGATATTAACATGGCTGCCTCTTATATATCATTTAGATCTGAGCTTAACTGCCAAAGCATCATTGTCATAGCAATCAACATCTATCTTATTACTCTGTTTATATTTTTTTCAAATTATTTATCACTATATAATGTCATCTTGTTAATTTATCTGTTCTTTTATCTGTCTCTCTCTTTCCACTAAAATTTAGGAGCTTTGTCTCTCTGGTTAACTGAGACAGCCTCAGCAATTAGTTAGTACAGTGCCTGGCACATAGGAAGCCCTAGATTACTATTTGTCAAATAAATGAATGAATGTTATCTCCTCCAGCAGTTTAAAGCACCATTTCTCTGTAAATAACCTAAGAAACAACTGAGCTCTCTTCCAAAGTCTATTTCTAGCTGTCTCTCACATACCTCCAACCGGACAACCTGACAGCAACTTTAATTCAACATCATAAAACCACTTTCTTTTCCAAACTTGCTCTTCTCCTGACTGCCTCTGTTTTCGAGTGACGGCATTCTCAATCTCCCTATTATTAGACTCAACAGTTTTCTTTTCCCTTTTGCCTACTCAAAGAATTCTTCTAACCATAACTCGTCGACCTGTTTATTCCTCTTTTCTTTTTTTCCATGGTTACCCTGACTAATTTAGATTCTCATGCTTTTTAAATTAAAGCATTATAATAGCCTTGTAACTGAACTTCCTGCCCCCAACTGGAAACTCACTTTACTTGTTGAAGCCTACCAGTTCTTCAAAGCACATTTCAAATGTCAGCTCTCTAATGAATTCATTCAAAATGTTTCTTGTTGAAAATGTTCTCTTGACTCTCCTTGGTTCTTTTTTGGTATTTTTCTCATGATTTATTAGAATTTATCTTGATTATAATTACTTCTAGGCTACTTACCACCAATGTAGTTAATAAGCATCTTAAAATCTGGGTTTTATCTGTGGGTGTTTTTTTTTTTTTTTTTTTGCCTTTTAATTTATTTAACTAGGGAGGTGAAGGGATTCTTATTCATTGTGTGTATCCAGTACAGTGACCTATAAGTAGCAGGCAAAGCAATGTCTGAATAATCTGATTGCATCGCTAGTTCTTACTCACCTGTTCTTGCTGCTGCTTGGCCAGCTCCATTTGCTGACGCTGTTTCTCAATCTGAGAGGCAGCTAGTTTCTTCTGTTCATCATGGGCAGCCAAGAGCTGCTCTCGCAGACTGGTCAGCTGGTTGATCATACCCATGAGTTGCCTTTCTTTCTCAGCTAAGCTCTCAGGAGTCCCTAAAAATAATATGGCAATAAAACAGACAAGATAAATGAGAAAAAGTGATTATTTCAATGAAAATGACTCTGTCGTATGCAGAGCTAGTCCAAACATAAAGTTCAATAAACACAAAAACATTACCTACCTTCTTTTAGATTTTCACTCAACAGTAAAAAGTGATGGCAATTTACTGATTAGAAAGTACCACAATGAACCTGGCTCTCTGGCACAATAGAAAGAACACTGGACTTCTAACAAAGTACCAGAATGAGCAAACATTTTGAATGTTTTTACATTTATGACTAGTTATAATCTATAGTTTTTAAAAAAATTTACTTTATAAGTAAATTTTAAAAATGTTGGCTGAGCATCTACTCTTTTTAATGTTCTATGCTAGGGTCTGCTGAAAGTAAAACAATGTCCAAAGTACAGTTCTTGGCCTTAAATATAATAGTTTTTCATCTAATTAAAGAAGCAAGACAAAGACATAAAAATTTAATAGCTATAGTTATTAAGAGGTCAGTGCATTAGTATTAGGGATATGATTCTCCCTTTCATAAAAAAAAAGAAACTTAAAGATTCAGAACCAAGGAATTCTATGTTACAAGACAGCAAATATCTATTTAGCCAATCAAGTTTTAGAATGTATTCCCCATATGCCAATTCAGAATCTATCGTCTTCTTTTTTTTTTTTTTTTTGAGACGGAGTTTCGCCCTTGTTACCCAGGCTGGAGTGCAATGGCGCGATCTTGGCTCACCGCAACCTCCGCCTCCTGGGTTCAGGCAATTCTCCTGCCTCAGCCTCCTGAGTAGCTGGGATTACAGGCACGTGCCACCATGCCCAGCTAATTTTTTGTATTTTTAGTAGAGACGGGGTTTCACCATGTTGGCCAGGATGGTCTCGATCTCTTGACCTCGTGATCCACCCGCCTCGGCCTCCCAAAGTGCTGGGATTACAGGCTTGAGCCACCGCGCCCGGCCAGAATCTATCTTCAAAAATAAAATATAGTTAACTTAGCAAATACTCAAGTTTGAGAACAAAACTATACCAATTGTGAGACAATGTGGTTAGCAAATGGACATCATACTATCATCGCTTAACCTTATGCATAAATCCAAGATTTGGAGAAGTTATGGTAGTCATTTAATATTATGTTCAATTTATTTAAAACATGCCAATCAATCTTATTAAGTTAAAATTTGTATTTAATATAAGGGAAATGTGTGCTGTTCACTGAAACAGAAACAGTATCACTTTTAATTGTTCTTTTAAAACTCATGATATTAGACAAAGCCCCTACGATAAAGTACTACCAGTAGGAGAGAACACCCTGTTTAATTACAATTTTCACTTCAAACATAAGACACTAAGCACTATTTTACTCCTGCATTTGCCACCTGTATACATAATTAGAAGGATCTGTCACCCTTCTTAACCCCAGTGCATTTCTCCTACCAATTTAGGCTAAAAGAGTTAGTCCTATTTTAGGAAGTAGCAGATATAGTTAGTAGCTTATAATTTTTATATACCCATTTGGAATAGAAATAAGGGTTCTAATGTATTTTACATATAGGCTAGAGAACAAATATCCAGAAAAGGAAATGTGTGAAAAAGGCAGTAACCATTTCTCATACTCTTTCTTATTAACAATGCCTATCCTTATTCAAGGCAGATGGTCTATAATGTGCTGCTAATAATGTATTATACCTCAGATAGTTGGATTCCATTAGAATGAATGAACATTAAGTCCATGAATAATAGCCACATGACTATTATATCCTAATATTAAATAATATAAATATATCCTGGGAAGATTATCTTAGTGAAAATATTCATATGCTAGCAAGATAAATATCTTCCTACATTGTTAGCAGAGCAGTAAATTTCTACCACATTTCAAGGAATACACACTAGGATTAGCAATACACATCATGTCTTAGAATGCGCATAACCTACAAAAGATAATTTTGCTTTTAGAAATCTAGCCCAAGCCTGGGTGCAGGGGCTTATGCCTGTAATTCCAGTGTTTTGGGAGGTCCAGCAGAAGGATCATTTGAGGCCAAGAGTTCAAGACCAGCCTGGAAAATACAGCAAGACTCTATCTCTACAATTTTTTTTTTTTTTAAATTAGTTGAGCATGGTAGTGTGCTCCTCTAATCCTAGCTACTGGAAGGCTGAGGTGGGAGGATCACTTGAACTCAGGAATTGTATTTCACCTCAGCATGCAAACGTATAACTTAAAAGTCTAAGCAAATCAGTGCATATTCAACACCTACAATTGGTCCTGCAGAATCCAATTAAGTCAGCCCTCTACAGAGGGGTTTCACATTCTATGAATGCAATATTTTGGATCTATGTTTAGCTGGGAAAATAAAACTGCTTGTAAGTGGACCTGTGGAATTCTAACCTGTACTGTTCAAGAGTCAACTGTATATATTTGGTGATGAGAATTAACAAATATCATTTTGTCATTAAGTATGTGAAAGTTTAACAAAATTTTTTTTGTTTTCACTTAGTCATAAAGATGTAAATAAGATTTATTTCAAACTTGAAACAAATTTTCTAATTTTATAGTTCACATTCATTCCAAACTTTTTGAACCTTCAGCCCATCTTGTTGCATCTTAAGCATTTTCACATGACGTCCCGGACACAATTACATTCTATTTCAGCTCCTTCTTATCTAACCTTTTCTTCTCAATCTTTTTCACTGACTCCTCTTCTGCCACCCATAAATGCCCATATTCTTCCCAGCCCCATTCTTTACATTTTCTGGCCTTGAACTAACATGCTTTAACCTCTAAGCACTATATTTCAGTAACGCTTTGCATATTTTAACCTACTGAGTTCTAAAATACATAGTCTCATAGTCAATGAAATAATATATGTGCCAACCCTAAGATTGTCCCTCAGCCCTAGTAACCCATATTTAGATGCAGAATAGGGTATCTCTGAGGGTGTATCTCAGTCATAAAATTCAACAAGCATAGAGTGAAACTCACCATTTTCCTGTAATTTTAAAGCATTATCACCAATCAGCATTCTAAAATATTTAAGAACATCTTCAATTTCCTTAGCAACTACCCATCCCTACATTGATCACATTAACCAATCATAGCAATTTTTTTCTCAAAATAGGTTTGCTTTTCCTTTTTTAATTAAAATTATATTTTTCAATATTATGTTCATATTAGTAAATAATGATGATGAAGGAATATAGTAAAAGATATCCTCTCAAAACTGTCCCTTCAAAAGTAACCACTATTATTATTCTTTTGTGTGTCTTATTCTTGTTAACACCGACTTAAGCATATACAATAATATTTCTCTATTAGTTTGCCAGGGTTGCCATAGCAAAGTACCACAGACTGGGTGGTTTAAACGACAGAAATTGCCTTACAGTTCTGGATGCTAGAACTCTAAGATTAAGTTGTTGGCAGGGTTGATCTGTTCCAGGACTCCTTCCCTGGCTTGTAGGTGTCTGTCTTCTGTGTTTACATTGTCTCAGTCTGTACATATCTATGTCCAAATTTCCTCTTCTTATAAAGTCATATTGGATTAGGACCCACCATAATAAGCTCATTTTAATTTAATACCCTTTGTAAAGATCCCTTAATTTTAATTTAATACCCTTTGTAAAGTTCATATTCTCAGGTTCTAGGCATTAGGACTTCAGCATGTGAATTAGGGTTGGTAGATGGGGGAAGGTGCATAGTTCAGTCCATAAGAATGCCTTTTACACAAATGACAACATAACATAAATACTGCTGTACTGACTTAAAAGAGCTCTTGTTCCAGCCTCCCTTCTCTATCTTCACTGCCATTTTTGTCATCTTTTTTCATGAATTTCTGCAGCAAATTTTAAAAATAGAACTTTTAAAACAGAACTTCCTGTCATCAATTGATCTCTGTACAAATCTAACCTCAAAACTGTTACCAAAATTACCTTCCTAGATAACAAAGTGATGTCATGTCAAAATCTAGTCCTGTCACTTCCCCTGTTTAAAGACCTCAATTGCTCCTCATTGGCTTCGGAAAAAATTGTCAAGTAATTATTATGAATTAATGAGGTCCTTCAAAATATTACCTAATCTTCCCACTTCCTCTGCGCATCCTAAATTCTAGCCAAACTGAATGTTCTAACATTACCCCACCACCAGCACCACCACTCTGAGCACTTGCACATGCCATCTTTAACAAGTGCCTTGCCTAGGCCAGTCTCTCCCTAAACATTCATTCTTCATGTTCCAGTTCACACATCTTGTTTTTTGTGGCTCTTTTCCTAATTTCCACGTGTAACAGTTGTTCTCTTCTTTGGGAATCCACACAGCATATGTGTAGATCTTTATTATAGTATTGAACTGTTGCACTGTATTATCTTATGTTCACATTTTTCTCCCAAAGTCAGGAGAGATAGCTATAATAGCAGCAACTATAAATGATGGACTTTTCTATTCTCATTACCTACTATAGATAATGGCAAATAGCATATGCACTGAGTATAGAAATCATCTAATACTGTTTAATGGATGACATAAAGAATAAAGCCCCTACCCTTTAAGCCATTCTCGAGTTTAAACATGCATAGGGATTCTAGTTTTGGCTTAAGAGAGTTGAGCCAAAAAAAAAAATACACTTTTGTGAAAGAAATCTTCCCTATTTTTATGAAAGTACCAAACTGAGATGATTACCACGTTCTTCACCGTCATCCCCAAGAGGTTAGAGAGGAGTTAATAAGTAGTCTGTGAACAATGGAGAAAAGTAGCAAGAGTCATAAGACATCCTTGACGTTAAAAAAGTGAAAAGAATATGAACTAGATCCTTGGACTATTCCGGAGGTCACCCAACAAAAAGAGGAGCTACTAGATTCAGGTTTTTAAGAGTCATAACTAATACATATGTATGTCTATATAGTGTATAACCCTATGGAGACACAGTCATGTATATATGAACTTGTTCCATCTGAGTCAGAGAGCTAATGCCATGAGTTCACTTGTGATGGTAATTTAGTTTCATG